CTCTCTCGCACGTTCACCCTCTCTTTTGCCTGTCTCGCTGTCGCCCTGCTTTTATTTTAGGTTATTTTTTTTTTTTTTGTTTTTTGATTTCTCAAGCAAATAATTCAATTTATTTTCTAATTAGTGCAAGAAAAAACAAACTCAAAGAAAACTGGCAAAAAGTCAACAAATGCAAATGGCACAAGCTGAGCGAGCGAGATGGCAATAGCAGACGCACACGCACACGCACACGCACACACTTGCAGAGAAACGCAGCCACTTTGACGCTAATGCAAATTGCAAATATTCCCCGCAACCCGCCCCACACCAGCCCAACCCAACCGAATATGTCTGCGTTGCAGCTGTCGCTCTCGTCGCTCTCCTCGCTGCTGCTGCCAGCGGCGCAGCCAACAACTCAGCCACTTTATTAGCGTATTTTGCCATGCAACTGTTTATGCGGCACACACACACACACACACACACATACAAATACACACACGCATACAGAGGGCGTCGACTCACACATGAGCCACGAATTAGTCATTTTGTTGGTTACTTGATGCATGTCTCTTCGCAGCCCCAGCCGCGGCTCCAACCCAAGCCCGCCCCCCGTTGCTGCCCAGCCACCCGCACATAGCATCAGGCACTGACAATAAACACACACACACACACACACACACACACGAACGCAGAGCGAGAGCTACTGCGGCTAGCTGCTTTGCACAAAAATGGCGTCCCGAGCAGGGACCGAGCATTCAACGTTGGGCGACATTTTTTATGCGCTTTTGAGCAAATTAGATTTCCTAATTAAATTTTCTAGTGAAATGCGCATAAATTTCATAAAATTCACTTCATGCCATTGGGCGTGGCAAACGCTCACACGCCCAACCTCCCTTTCTCTCTCTCCTCCCCTTTCTCTCTCTCTCTAGCTCTCTTTCTCTCACTCTCGCTCTCTGTCTGTGTGTGTGTGCTGTCGCCTTTCATTTGCTGCGACATTTTTCGCTCTGGTATTTTCGTGTCGTCGTCTGCTTAAAGTAATTAACTAAGAAAATTTTAATTGCTAATATGTTGTGATGTATGTGCGTGTGTGTGTGTGTGTGTGTGTGTGTGCTAGTCTGCATGCTGGCATGTGCGGCTGCTGTGCTTGTATATATATATATATATATGTGTGTGTGTGTGTGTTTGGCATTGGGCGCCCTCGACTTTTATGTTGGCAAAACTTTCAATAATAAAGCTGTGTGTGCTGTGTGCGTGTGTGTGTGTGTGTGTGTGTGTGTGTGTGTGCGTGTGTGACTGTGTGTCTGCGTGCGATGGGTGCTGTGTGTGCTTAATTCTGTGTGTGCGTGAGCTCATTAAAAGTGCGCTGGCACAAGTGTAAACATACGAGAACAAAATTAATGTTGCCTACTTTTGTGCGCGCGGAATTAACTAATTTCGCACATTTGCTCATCATCCTAATTGCATAATTAGATTTTGTGCAACACATAAACACAGTGTTGATTAGCGTCCGCTCACATCTAACCCACATATATACATATATATATATATATTTCCTTCACAGTTGCAAACAAATCGAATTTCAATAATTCCAATTATCATTAATAGAGAACACGCAATGCCCCAACTAAACTAACAACTGATTTATGCAATGCGGCAAAGCAAATTAGTTAATACCTGAAATTAGTTAATCAATGCTGCAGCAAAGCGAAATATTATCAATGCTAAATGCGGCAGCTTAATTTGTGAAATTTGAATATTATTCGAATTGAATCAAATCGAAAATTTAATGAAAACACAAATTTGATTTACTGTTTGTCCTGATCGATTGACTAAATGATTGACTGATTGATCGGTGAACAACGTACAGCACAAATGTGATGAAGGTGGACGCTAAGACGAGATTTTTGGCAATTCCACCCGCAACTGTGGAAAAGTCGCGAAAAACGGCTTCATGTTACTCTTTTCTTTAGCATACGATCGAACCTAAGATCTTTTCTCGACGAGTGTTTCACGCTTTTTGCAGAATCCATGCTTCCTTGCTGGAAACGGGGATCAAAGATTTACTGCATGAATTTTCGTGAAATGAATTTCATTTCTATGAATCTTTATGAAAAATGACGTGACTCGACTTTTATACTCCCACTTATCTTCAAAGTCCTAAATAAGAACTTAATGAAATCGGGTTTCATTGATTTTGTTAATTCCACCTACAATTGCGGAACATTGGCGAAAAATGTGCAACCTTTTCGTCTACCAGTGGATTGGCTTCAAACTTATTTGCAAAGATCTTTGTCAGCAATTTGTGATACGTTTTTCGCAAAGTTTTCCGCTCTTGAATAAAAAATGCGGGTCAGAACGAAAGTTTATTCTGTGGCAAGAACACAAAGTTGTCCAGGAAATAGCTGGCAATATATATGTATATAGATATTCTTGATCAAGTCGAATTATGCCTCTGTCTGTCGCTATGCAAATTAATCGCTCAGTCGAAAAGCTAACTGCTCCAAACCTTGATTAGGTTCGACTCTCTGTCAGAATCGGTCGAATCACTCGACTATATCGTATAGCTGTCATGGTAAAGATCGATCAAGAACTAATTTCATCTATGAAAAACTTACTTAGCTGATACTTATCCCTTTGAATGTCTACTCTAGATAATTAAGAGCTTCACAATTAAGCGCCTCAAGCTATTCATTTAAGCTTTGCAGCTAGCCGTGTTATATGTTTTAAATGGAAAATTGATGCCTCGAGCTGGACTCTAATCGGTTTGGGGGCATTGGGCTATTTGATATTAATCAATTATAACGCTCTACATGCAATTTCACAGGAATTGATTGCAAATTGTAATTCGCATTGAATGCCTGGGCAACTAAATTTAACGTATTTAATGCGCACACACTCACACACACACGCACAGTCACTATTAATGCTGATATTTTACTTGGGTATTTGTGGAAATTGCCTTTGCCGCATTTCGGTTTTGTAATTCAAGACGAAGCAAATCGCATTCATTACAGCGATTTTCACTTCAGTTCGCTGCACTCACAAGATGCGACTCGTTTTTTTTTTTTTTTATTATTATTATTATTTTTGTTTGCTTCACGCATATTTAGTGGAAAATACGCTTCGACTTGCCCGGGCCTGCCCCTCCATATGAAAATAAAGCAGCAATATATGAGAAGGATACACGTCAGCGCTTCACTTGAATAACTCGACAGCGACAACAACAACAACAACAACTTCGACAATCTCGACAACAACAACGACAACATAAATATGCTTCTACTTAATTTTTCATATCGAATTTCAATGCGAATTGGTTTTTGGGTAAAGAGCGCACATGAAGTATGCGGCATGTTTTCAGCATCTTTTTTCATGCTCTTGCTATAGTTGTTGTAGTTGTTGTTGTTGTTGTTGTTGTTGTTGTTGTTTTTGTTTTTGTACTTTCCCTAAAAAACACACTGTGACTGACGCTGACAAGACGCTGCTCGCCCCCCTTTGTCTTGTCGTGCCTGGTTTTCCGGGTGCTTCAATCTTCGATTTGCCTATTGAAAGGCATCGCCGATTTGCTGGCTCCTCGAGTCAGCCAAGTGGCGAGTCGGCAGCGCTGATCCTCCCTCCTCTCAGGCCACCTTCTCACAGATCAACTGCTCTCAAACCTCCTGCTTCTCTCCGACCTACACCTTCTCCGAAACCCCCATCTCGTTCTCCTCTACGGCCTGCTGCTCATCTAAATCCTCCTGCGCAGCTCAAACACTTGCCAACTTAAGAAAAAATAAAAAGAAACAATTCATTGCGCGTCTGTCAACGCTCATCATCGGCATTTGCTGGCATCGTCACAGTCTCGAGACGGCTCACGGCTGCCGCTTTCACTTTCCCCCCCCATTTCGAGCGGTTCATGACGATGTCAAGTGGTGTCTTCCTTGAAGGAAGTGCGAAACTAGATACAATTATTAAATATTTAAAATAACAGACAAACTCCACTCCCTTCCCTAACCAGCTGATTGCCAGAGAGCAGTCAGTGGAAAGATAAACAAAAGAGATGAAAAATTAAATTCAACATAAAACAGAACCACTTGAAAGTCGCGCTTCAGCGCCGTCCAGAGTTAGGCAGCAGGTTATGCTGCTTGGTGGGCTGAGGCGGGGTTGGGTCTGCCAGTGTGTAGGTCATGGGAGCAGCATTGAAAAAACGCTGTGAACTAATTTTGACAAGGAAGTGGCAACAGCAAGATAGGGAACGCGAGAGCGAGGGGAGGCCGAGGGAGGCAGTTGCACTGCAATTGAATTGAAGTTGAAATTGAGGTTGAAGCAGATGTTGAGCTAAATGTGGGATAAGCACATGAATTAAAAGCGATTAAATGAGTCAAACGATAGTAAGTATAGCCAAAATAAGGCAAATAATAGCTGAAAGAAAGCGATATTGAAATCGAACACATGAGAGTTGCACTGCAGGATTTGATTGAAATTGAAACTGAGTTGAAGCTAAAGTTGAAGTAGAAGCAAACTAAATTTTAATTGAAACGTAGTTGAAAACGGAGTCGATATTGTATTAGAAGTTGATCCAAAATTCAATTCAATGAGTCATACGTAAAGTTAATAATATTGCGAAATACCAAAACGAGGTAGGTAACAAAGGTGTTGGATGTCGAATGAATTGAAAGCGATATTGAAACGGATTTCTAATAGTGAAGTATTAAAGTGTAGCTTGGTTTCATTCTATAATTACAAAATACAAAGATGTACGTGAGACATAAAAAGTGAGAAAAGAGAGACAGAGAGAAAGAGAGAAAGACAGAGAGTTAAGTAAAATTGAAACTGAAATTGAATTGAAGCTGAAATAAACTGAGAACAATGTGAGATTGAATTGAAACAAAACAAAGAACACACAGCAAAGCTCTTTGTCATTGATTGACGCTTGTAATTCTCAACTAGTTAAGGCGTTGGACATGATTCTTAAACTAGACATACCATAAGTATAAGCAATAAAATTCAACATTCTTACAATGAACTCATCACAATTGCAGGCTCGTTGGCTGTCAAGGACTTTGGCATGGATGGCCTAAACGGTTTTGGTGTTGGTCCCAATGGCAAAAAGAAGAAAAAGAAGCGTCGCCACAGCCGAACAATATTCACCAGCTATCAGCTGGAGAAGCTGGAGGAAGCCTTCAAGGAGGCGCACTATCCCGATGTCTATGCCCGCGAGATGCTCTCATTGAAAACGGAACTGCCCGAGGATCGCATACAGGTGAGTCACACATTGAATAGATTGTGAAGATATGTGCATGAATGAACCAGAATGACTGGCCCAAAGTGCCGGGTAATTTGATATTATATTCATTGCCCAGCCCCCAGGGAATTGCTTAATGAATTAACGAACTAATTACATCCGTTGTGTAGTTGCGCTTAAAGGTGTTGCCCGTGTTGGCAAAACAAAGCAAAAAGCGTTGAGAAACCAGACAAATTTCGCTTGGAGCTGGGCTGGGCTAGTATGGACTGGCTGAGCTTGTGTGACAGGTATAAGGCAAGGAATTTGCATTTCCTTTTTGTCTCATTGTCTTTGTTTGGATTGTTCTGTGCTGATTTTTCACACCTCCATTGTGCGCTGCACAGGCAGACGGACAAACAGACAGACAGACAGACAGACAGACAGACACTTGCCCATTGTGATCAGCCTTGCACTGGTTAATACCCTGTTCGTTCCTAATAAGCAATCAACCTCAGCTGCGGCTCAAGTGCAGCTCCAACAGTTGCCCGACTGCGTCCTTGCCCGCACAGCCACGTCAGCCACGTCCTGCTCTGAGTTTGGGGGCTACACCAAAAAAAAAAAAAAAAATAAAAATCAGCTACGTTTGCGAATTTATAATTAAGCATTTTAATGGCCGTTATTGTTCTAGCTAACTGCCAGCCAGGGCAGTGCAAGCGAGACAGTGCACACCAGAGAACAAGAGAACGACAGAGAGGGAGAGAGTCTGTGTGTGTGTGTGTGTGTGAGTTTGCTGTGTGTGCGCTTTCATCGAGTAAACTTGAACGCCGCCAAATTGCCACCCTTAAAAAGCTTGCGTATTTCATGCGCTCTCTCGCTCTCGCAATGTGTTTGATTAGCAAAAAAAAAAAAAAAGAAGAAATTTATGAAAAAACACACGCAAAAAATTGGTGTAATTATGGCGCGGTTACTTCATTCCCTCTCCTGCAAATTCCACCCCCCGTCCATGTACGAAATTTGCCCTTTTTACCCGCATCGAGTGCGCCACTCACAGGAATGGGAACGGCAACGGGAACAGGAGCGGGAACTGTCACTGAAACTGGAACGGACTGCGGACTTGTTCTTGGTCTCGTCCCCTGCCTGCCTTCCAGGCAGCCGACTCAAGTGCCCAGGCACTTAGCTTAGGCTCAGGCTGAAGGCTTGACTTCGAAGTTGGCGAAGGAGCGACAGCTTATTGTACTGGAATTTGTGGTTAATTTATCGATAGCGGTGCACAAACTATCGATAGCTTCAGTTGCCAGCACGATATTAAAGTACAGTTTAATTAGTTATCGCTCAAATGTTAACTACATAAATTAGTTGTCGATTTATTTCTCATCCTTATTATCGGTATCAATGGCCAGCTGAAATTACATATCGATAAATATCGATAAACTATAGACTTGGATAAATGCAGCTCTATAAAATGCTAATTGCACTTAATTAAACTTTTTTGCATACGTCCACGGAATGTGCCTTTGGGTTTGAGATCCTAACGTTGATTATGCGTAGCACATTCGTTGCGTTGCAAATTCACAATTAATTACAGCTCGCCTATCGATTAATTCAAATGCAGCTCTGCTAATTACAATCGCTATTTAGTTGCATGCATTATTAACTTACTAATCGACATCAACAAATCCTTTGCGGCAGCCCACTCAGACCACACTTGCTCTCGCTCTAAGTCTCTTTCCCGCTCTATCTCTCTCTCTCCCTCTCTCTCTCTCGGTTGCTCTCGCTTGCTCTCTCTCACTCTCTTTGTGGCTTGCTCTTATTCTGACAAGCTGCAAGACTCTAGCTGAAAATTGAATTTCGAGTGTGTAAAATTTTCCAATTATAGACTTTGGAGTAGCACACACACGCACACGCTCCCTTACACACACACACACACACACACACACGCACACACACACACGTATGAGTGGGCACTTTGACGGAGCTTCGCCTTTGGCTTGCTTGGGGGCACATGAAGCACTGCTAAAAGCGAGTCCAATTAGTAGCATTACAACTAACACTTCAATTCTGGCCCAGAGACGAACCAACGAACGAGCCTCACTCTCGCCCTCTCCTCCTCTCTCTCTCTCCCTCTCCCTCTCCCTCTCCCTCTCTGATGGTCTTACGCACTTGCCTGCTCTCTCACTTACTTGGCAATAACGGCAATCGTCATCAGCAGCAACAACTGAGGCAATGGCGCCAAAGTACGGCCATTTTGTGTGTAACTGTTTTCGGTTGCAGGGTTGCCCAGGAGAGGGTGGGGCCACGGGGGAGGCTGAACTCGCCTCAGTGGGGTTGGCTAGTGGCAAGACAGAGGGGGGGTGGGGGATACGATGCTTGGCTTAAATTTGCATTTAACGTTGTTTGCGGTGCCCGCAAATAGTCAACGACTTTCACTCTGCCAGAGTGTGTGTGCGTGTGTGTGTGTGTGTTGCTTACAGCATGTGGGCGTATGCTGCACCCATACACTCACACACACACACACTCTGGCAGCTCAACAGTTAGACAACCACAAAATACTCTAAAGACCAAACGACCGCAGCGCAGCAGCTGAGCTGAATACGACCCCAAACACACACGCACACACACGCCCACACGCACGCACACTCACACACAGCAAATAGCCTGCAAATGTCATGCAAAATAACGGCACTATTTGTCTCTCTGTCTGTGTGTGTGTGTTTGTGTGTGTGTGGATTCTGGCAAAAAAGGCTTTAGAAATCGACTTGATGGCGCCCCAAAAAAACTAACAACAACATCAGCATATAAGCACACACACACACACACACACACACGCAGAGTCAGCACAGGCGCACACACACACATACACACACACACACACACACACACACAGCGCTGCCTGTCGCATGTGTTGCATATTTTCAGGCACTTAAGCTATTTGCCTGAAATGTGCACAACAACACATAGCAACTGACACACACACACACGTGCACACACACAGTTAGTTATCATGTGCAAATGCAACCTAACATGCCCCGCACCGCCCCTGCGCACCGCCCACATTTGCAGTTGAAGCCAAAAAAAGCACTCGGTATTGATTTTAATTGAAAAATTGTTAATTTTCCATGCCAGTAGCAGCAGCAGTCGCAGCAGCAACAGCCACGCCCCTAGCTAACACACACACACACACACATACAAACACACACAGTCACACACACATACAAACACAAACAGTCACACACACAAGCCGCAGCTCTTCAACCTTTTGCCAAGTGAACTTTTTGTGTGCTGCCAATTTTAGAGCTCGGTGTGTGTGTGTGTGCTAGTCAGAGCATGTGTTAGTGTGTGTGTGTGTGTGTATTATTGTTGTTTTTGCTGCTGCTGTTGTGTTCTGTGTCTGGGTAATTACACATTTGTGTGTGAATAATTTCCAACCCCGCAGCGCAGACTAAAATTCATGGCAAAATATTTGTTCGCCTTGGATTTGGGAATTTTCGTATTTTAAATTTGAATTTGGCTTTGAAATTCGCATTTGCTGCCTCGAGTGGAATGTGTAGCACACTCGGGCATTTCAATAGTTTTGACTACCAATACACACACACACGCACACACACACACACACACACACGCACAGCAGCTGTCCTATTACAGGCCGAAAATTTGCAGGAAATTTTAATTATTAATGAAATTTCACAGGGTATCCCAGGCTATGATATAGTCTCTTTCTATATGCACCATAAATGTGAGTGTGCTTATATCGAACTCTAATACGTAGATTTAAGAATTTAAAGCGAATGCCCGGATACTCACTCAGACGGCGACCTCTATTCAAGTCAAGTTAAAGTTCTTATTCATTTGTAAATATACAAGTTTAGGGACTTAGCTTAAATTAATATGCATCCTTCTCCTTTAATATATATATTCGTATGTGTAAGTATATGGCCAGAGGTTTGGCATCTTGGCAATTGGCAGACTGATCTTCAAATTGGCATGGGAGCAAACTGTTTGAATACCTGGCTCGAAGCCATTCACAGGCCATCAGCTGTCAGCGGGAGCTGCTCGAAGCCTACAGCCTCGCACAACTAATTTCTCAAAGAGAAAATGAAAAAAAAAAAATATGTAGAAGAAGAGACCTGTGTAGAAGCAGCAGAAGAGCAGCCTACAAGTTCTACGAAACTAATTTACTCAAGTGGCGACGCGTCGTGGGGCCATAACGTTGCAACAGGCCACAATGGCCGGAGCTTGAAGCTTCAATAAAAGATTCAGATTCAGTTGGTTTCTTGAAACTAAAAAAAAAAAAAAAAAAAAAAAATGCAATCGTCATTGGAGTTTTCGAGTAGCTGCGGCCCGATTGGCAGCCTCGACAACGGAACGGCCATGGGAACCGAAACCAAAACCAAAACCGAAACCGAAACGAGCCGAATCGGACGGATCGAGCGGATCGGACATATCGAGCAGATCGGGCCGATTCGGTGTGTCCAGCAACTGTTTGGGGCATTCGGGCAGACTTGTGGCAGACATGTCGACTCGCCGTTGCTGCCACTTGACGCAATGCCGTCTGCTGCGATCGGACGCCGCCGATCGTGTAGCCCCAGCTCGCTCTGCCGCTCTCCCGCTCTCCCGCTCTCCCACATTGAACCTGTCAACGTTGCATTTTCTCAGGCATTTTACTCAACGAATCTAGAATTCTGATGATCATGATCATAATGATGATCGTCGTCGAACTTGTTCACTTTGGCCGCCTGCCTCTGGCTCTGCCTTTGGCCGACTCGAGTACCAATTCGTTTAAAATGGTATCAGTTCTAAGAAAAATATTATTTTTTTATAATTTCTCGAGTGCGTTAATCTGTTGAAGAGTTGCCGGAGCGAGTGGCTCGACCCTGCACTCGTTCGATCCTCGGCATTTGGTTATGTGCATAATCACGACAACCGGCCGGACCCGGACCCGGACCTCACACCCCAAGTAGAAGTAGTTCTACCCCGCACCCTGCTGTTGGTGTTGACGTGCCCCGCCGAACCAAAATGAAACGTCAATTTCAAGCGTTTTT